AGAGAGAGAGAGAGAGACAGTGAGAGCAGGAACACAAGCAGGGGTAGTGGGAGAGGGAGAAGCAGGTCTCCTGCCGAGCAGGGAGCCTGATGCAGGGCTCGATCCCAGGACCCTGGGACCATGACCTGAGCCGAAGGCAGACGCCTAACGACTGAGCCATCCAGGCGCCCCTACTTATTGATCTCTTAACATTGCCTGTGATTTGAGAATTCTTGATTAAATAGCCAGTCATCACAGACTTTTTTACCCTGTCCCCTTGAATGTACTGGGTTTTTTTTTTCTTTTTTTGCATATATAGCATTTGGAATTGCCCCCTTTTTCCTCTATAAACAAAATTATATCGCCTGTGAAATGTTATGGATGTGTTATGCCACCTGCCATTAGGACGTAGGTCAGCAGATCACTCTTTATCCTTTCTCTGTGGTTAGTTTTTCAAGTTACCTTTTAAGATTCCCCAAACTTCTTAAGTTACAGGACTAAAGTTAGCATCTCCGAAGGGTGGGTCTCACACACGGGTGTCAGTCAGAAGCCCCGAGCTCACTTCAGCCATCCCTAAAATTGTGTCCCCACAGAACTTTTTGAGCATCTGTCAAAATTTATTTTGCCTCTCCCCCCTTGAGAGAAAGCATTCCACTGAAAAAGCAGTACATTTTACGAGCATTTATTTGTTTTTCCCACATGGAGTCCTGCTGGAAAAGACTCCCCAGTGAGCCTGCTCTCCATCACGCTGTAAAGGATTTACTGCAGTGTGTATTTTAACATTTGGCTTTTACTGTAGCTGCGTTTCCATGCCTGCCAAGTTTCGCCAGGTGGTGGCTCCACCAGCGAGCTTTTCTGGAGCTTTTATGTAAAACTAACAGTGTCGCGCCTGTGATTTTGTGTCTGCTTTTTCTCTGTGCATTTTAGAAGGCCCATTTTGATCTTTCTATTATATTTCTCATTTTAATCTTTAGGATTTGATGGAACAACTTGAAAAACAAGATAAGACTGTTCGGAAACTGAAAAAACAACTGAAAGTATTTGCCAAAAAAATTGGTGAACTAGAAGGTATTTCAACATGTTTTTATAACAGTTGCCGAATCTTGATTTTTGTATTGCTACACCAGTGTTCTAACAGGTTTGCATGCGGATATTATAATGATAACAAAAATGACTTTCAGCAAACCTGACCTCTGTGGAGTGGAAGTTTCCATTGCTAAGTAGGGAAAAATGTTCCTTGCGAAGAGAGGGAATTTGCTCAACAAACATCTAATCACTATCTTCTATGTGCTATACGCTGTGCTTGGCAGTGTAACATAGAGGTTAAGCACATGGATTCTGGAGCCAAGCTTCTTGGCTTCAACTCCCAGCTCTTCTATTAGTCATCTGATATTGGGCAAGTTATTGAACCTCTCTATGCCTCAGTTTCCCCACTTGTTAGATGGGAGTGATCAATGTTAAAGGTGTCTACCTGACAGTTTGTAAGGATGAAATGAATTAATGTGTGTAATGTATTTAGTGTATTTCCTGACACATAGTAGATGCTATGTACAACTTAACTATTATTATAATTACAGTTAGTATTAGGGATACTATGATGAGTAAGACAAAGTCTGTGTCCTCAAAGAATCTAATGGAGGAAAAAGAAAATATGAATGATTATAAAGAAATAAGATTTTTTTAACATTTCATGATTTATATATGATGATGGGGAAAACACCTTAAAAAATGATCAAATATCAATTGTTATTATATGCAAATGAATCTTGTCTTTTGGATTAGTGTGTTTGTTCCTTTACTGAGTATTTACCTAGGTACCAGGCGTGTAGCAGTGAATGGAGATAAAGCCAAGTTTTAAGCTTATTCCAACAACGTTCTCATTGTTCAAGAGACTTAGAGAACCTCTTTGGAATTGCCTTCAAACCTGTGAAGTTTTGACCAAAAATGTTACTGTGCAGTCTGACTACCCAGCTATTCTCTCAATGTCACTCAGCGTAGTTTGGAATGTTCAGAAGAGTCTACCATGTTAACTCTGTGTGGTTTTCATTCTTCCAACATGCCAGGTCTGTCATAACTGTCCTTTCTGTTTGGTCTTCCTACTTCTCTTGGTCAAGTCCTGCTCATCCTTTGGGACCAGAGTCATATGTCACATTCTCAAGAGTAGCCTCTCCTGATCACCCAGGCAGGCTTGATGCCTCTGGCCTCTGGGTACCACAATGGCTCACATTTTTTGTGGTTTTCACTGTCATGTTTTTAGCAATTTCTCTGTTTGAATCACTGGCTTCCTCAATGGACATAAGCTTCCTGAGCATAGGGACCACCTCTTGTTTCCCCTTGTTTTCATAGCACCCAGTAGCACCTAGCATAGTGTCTGATCTATCATAAATGTTTGTTGAATGAATAAGTAAGTTCCAAAAATATTTAGAATGGCAACATAAGTTGCTTACTTTGAAGAGGATAGTACTCTCTTGGATGTACAAATGCTGAAATATTGTTTAGAAATCAGACAGGTTACTTTGCAGTCATTATTTATAAACCTTTAGCATTACACGACTCATATATTACACTAAAATTTTGAATCTCCAAATCACACACACGGACTATAATGTCTATCAACAAAACTTTAAAAAAATCTTTATTCAGAGAACTTTTCTGCACTTAACTCTGCTTTAATTATATCATGAGATGATAATTAGACAAGAGCGCCTAAAAGAACTGATTTTAAGGATATTAACTAGTAGATTTTTTTTTAACCTTTAATGATTTCTTTGCAATACATTAGTAAAATTTGGTGAAAAGCAAAGCTACTTATTATTAGCTTATTAGCTACTTATAAATTTTTGCTCAGCTTTCTTTAATATGTATATTTTAATTGAGAGAGGTTACAGTGTTTCAAGATGTCAGCGATTTTAAGCCATTATCAATCAGAAATCAGTCTCATCAGTTAAACAAACTATCTTGCCGGCTATGTTCTCAAACCTATAAGTAGCATTTGAGAAGGCACTTCACAGATTAAACAAAAAGACACCGTATTCTTAAGAAAAGTTATATCTCAAGTTAAATGATGTATATCTAAGGAATAAAATGAGATAGATGTATGTGACTTGGGCTCGTGCTGAGTCCTCCTCCCCCAGATTAGAGACTAAAGGTAACAAGCTCTTCTAACACTTTTCTCTTCCTATTTCTGTATCCTCCATTATACAGAAAATACAGGGAACTTTCTACAACAAAGCACCTTTTAAAAACTAAAAGTTTTCTTATATCTTTCTCTAAATATAACATACTTACATTCTTCTGGTTTAAAATAGCAAGATTCTTGCCTCCTCCTATGGGCTACCCTTAATTAAGGAGACTTTTTTAGAAGCCAGTGAAGCCTTTTTTTAAAACGCCAACATACATCATTTTTAGCAGAAATTATAAAGCCGAAATGGAGAGTGTTTCAAATTTGATCGCTTTGTGCTATCTTTTAACCCAGGAGTGGGTGTTGCATCTCAACTTTCAAAGAGTCAGGGAATTTAGACTTAGAAGAATTCTAGAAATCAGTTAATTATTTCATGGGAGTAAAAAATGGAGGCCCAGGAACCGTCAGTGACTGCCCAGGCCTCAGCCAGGGAGTAGCCAAACTGGAACCAGAGCGCACGCCTTCAGGGACCATTGACTTCTCTCCTTTTTGTCATAGTTTCCAATGAAAACTCTCGACTTATAGGGATTTATTCGACTATATTAAACCTGGAGTCAAGATCTTTCTGGTTCCAAAGTGAGGAAAAATAAATTTTTAGAAAGTTATCCAATTTCCTTTCCTTTTCCAGGACAAAAAGGTTCAGGAATAGTTTCCCCTCACGTATAAAGAATCCAGAAAATGAAAATAGGGATTGCTTCAGGCTTTTCTAGAAGAAAGCCTGTATTAGACAAAATATGACCCCCAGGGTCTTATGAGTCTTTGAAAACTGAGATGTGGTCCTGGCTTCTTTCTTTCAGACCTTATATTTTCCTCATGCTGACAATTTATTTAATTTAACTTAATTTTATTTAATTTAATTTTATTTTTTATTTCTTTTTTAAAAATTTTATTTTATTATGTTATGTTAATCACCATACATTACATCATTAGTTTTTGATGTAGCGTTCCATGATTCATTGTTTGCATATAACACCCAGTGCTCCTTTCAGTATATGTGACCTCTTTAATACCCATAACCAGGCTAACCCATCCCCCCACGCCCCTCCCCTCTAGGACCCTCAGTTTGTTTCTCAGAGTCCATAATCTCTCATGGTTCGTCTCCCCCTCCGATTTCCCACCCTTCATTTTTCCCTTCCTGCTATCTTCTTCTTCTTCTTTTCTTTTTTTTTTGACATATAATGTATTATTTGTTTCAGAGGTACAGGTCTGTGATTCATCAGTCTCACACAATTCACAGCGCTTACCATAGCACATACCCTCCCCAATGTCTATCACCCAACCACCCCATCCCTCCCACCCCCCACCACTCCAGCAACCCTCAGTTTGTTTCCTG